AAATTCTCAAACTTTAAATTTCTCAAAAATCTCAATCCTCTATTCTCTGAAAATGAGTCATTTTTCTACTGTTGTTTTGTATGATGGAGAAATTAAACAAGCTGAAGAGGGGGTTGTTTTCTAGTCAGATCATTATATCCCCTTAACCTTAAAGAGAAACATCACTCTTGAGGAGTTAATAACAAAAATTTCGTTAAAGATTCATGTAGCAGGCCGGAGAAGACTATCTTCACTTCAGTACAGATTTCCTACTGAACTTTTTCCGCTCACGTATACATCATTTCAGCTTTCAAACGATGATGATGTTTCTATGATGGTTGATGCTCATATGGGAAGTTCACAATCTCTTATTGAAATGTATGCGTCTTTTATTGAGGTTCGTGCTTCTCGTGGTCTCCCATATTCCTCTCACTTTGGCATTGTATATCAAGCTGATCAAGTTGATAGCCTGACACAACTGATCTGTAATGATTTCATATCATTAATGGCGGATCCAACACCAGATGACATGTCATCAAGTTCAGTAGGAAGACATTCACCTGCAACTGCTTATGATCTCAACCCACGTGGTTTCACCAATAATCCATATGGCAACATCTCTTATACTTCAAGGGGTAGACATTCATCTGTCAATGTTTTCGACTTACATATGGAAATGCCAACGAGACGGCAGTCTATTCACATCCCACATGATACAATGGCCTCAAGTTCAAGGGGAGGACATACAAGCGGGAACTTATTTGACCTCAACATTAGATTATCGGAGGAACCATCATCTCCACTAGAAGAACCTCTTCGAGAGCCAGGTGCAGATGGTGCTGAAACGGGATTATTCGTTGAACCTGACTCACCACAGTTTAACGTACATTCTGATGATGACGAGGATGACGTTCCGATAAATACAACACCAGTCGAACTTCCTGTACATATGTATGGGGCTGATTATGATGCAATGTATGAGCCCGAATTTTCAGATCTTCCTGATGTTGGCAACTATGAACTTCAATCAACAGTTAATGACGATGATTTACATATTGGGATGGAGTTCGCATCGAATGAGGAAGCAAGGATGTCAATAAAGAGTTACATTATTCGTAACTCAGTTCAGTCCCGAGTTGACCGATCTAACACAGAGAAATATGTCTGCTACTGCGTCCAACGTGACAACGGATGTCAATGGATGGTTCGTGTATCAAAGAGGAAGAGGAAGAACAACTTATGGGAACTAACCAGATACAACAGTCCTCATACGTGTTGTGCAAGAGGTATAAACCAGGATCATCCCAACTTGGACTCCAACATTATTTGTCAAGCAATCATGCCCATTATGAAGCAAAGCTCTCATATAGCTGTTGCAGTGTTGATTTCTGCTATACAGTCACAATATGGGTACACCGTCTCATATAAAAAAACTTGGTTGGAAAAACAGAATGCCATTTGCAAACTTCATGGCGAATGGGATTCATCTTACAACGAGCTGCCCAGTTGGTTTCATGTTGTGCAAAGACTCAATCCCGGGACAATTGTTGAGTTCAAAACTCAACATCATTACGTGAATGATCGAGTGGTTCGTGATCGCTGCCAATTCTACCATGTCTTTTGGACTTACCCTCAGTGTATTAATGCTGTCAAGTACTGTAAACCAGTTGTCCAAATTGATGGTACTTTCTTGTATGGGAAATACAAGCAAGTTTTATTATTGGATGTGGTCCAAGATGGAAACCGCAATATTCTTCTCGCTGCGTTTGCCCTCGTTCAAGGAGAAGACACTGAGTCTTGGGTTTTTTTCTTTAAAAATTTACGTTTACATGTTGTCACCAGGGAACGAGTATGCATTATTTCAGACCGAGGAGCCGGGATAAAAGCAGCAATGGACTCTTTGGGTACAATGTATAGACCTCCACATGTTCAACATCGTTATTGTGTCTGTCATATTGCTGTAAACTATTATGGAAAATACAAGAAAAACGATGAACGTCAATTAGTCGTGCAGATGTGTATGTTACTTTTCCCTAATTTTTCTATCATTTTCGTATTACTTATTTATACTTCATATTAACTATTACATATTCCTATGGCTTAGGTTACGAATTCTTACCTCAAAGGTTTGAGTCGATGCTACAAGAGTTGTTTGGCAAATATAAGAAGGGGTACGAGTACATTATGGACATCAGCAAAGAAATGTGGACAAATGCGTATGACGGGGGGTATCTCTATGGTCATATGACAACAAACTTGGCTGAAGCAATAAATTCAACCTTAAAGGGGGTGCGTCATTTACCAGTCACGACATTGGTCAAAACGACTTATTTTCGTTTGGGTCAACTCTTTGCAAAGCTCGGTGGACAAGCTCTTACTTGGATGCAAAACGGTCATATTTACCACCCAAGACTAGTAGCTGATTTACAGAAAAAATGGCTGCATCAAATGGGATGTTGGATACAAATTTTTCTCGCACCCGTGAATTGTTTCGTGTAACCGAAATGCCACGTCCGTTGCAAGGGATTGAAGCTAACTCTTTCAGAGTTAATCTGCATGAGAGGTGGTGCGATTATGGTTTCTTTCAAGCACTCAGATATCCATGCTCTCATGTCATTGCAGCTTGCTCACATTTGCATTTGGACTACAAAAATTATGTTGATCCCGTATACCAACTTTCACAAGTATTCAAGGTATATGAATTTGAGTTTCCGCCTATAGGAAACGAAAGAGACCCAGATGAGAATCAAACTTGGCTTATAATTGTACCAGATCCATTGCTATTGAGGGACTCAGGTCGTCCAAAATCTACTAGAGTACATTGTGATATGGATATTCGGGAGAAGTCAACAGAACAAAAACGATGCGGGCATTGTAGAAACATCGGACACAATAGAAAAAAATGTCCAGCTCTATTATCATCATGTAATCGTTAACCCTTATGTAATCTAATATTATATTTAAATGAATGTTTTTGTTTCTAATATTTAAATGTAATTGCATTTTCTATAATTTCTCAATGTATAATAATAATAACAGATTAAATGTGTAATTATACTAATTTTATTAACTTATGCATCAATATTTTGGTTAAATAATAATAACAGATGACTAGATTGATAATATTTAAATAATTAAGTGATCAAATTAATAGATCGATAATCAAAATAAAAAATAATAATATAACCATACGTGTAATATAATAATTTTATACATTTTTCATATAACTACAATAAAATAAAAATTAGTTTTCATCTGTTGTTCTATCCAATTAATGTGGATAATACACTCTACCTTTAACACATATTTAAAAAATACATTCGATAATTATTAAATTATAACTAAAATAATTTATATAATATATTACTAATTTATAATAATAATAAAAATAAAATTTTTATTATTAAAAAAAATACCGCGTGGCAACTGAATCATCAAAATAAAGGTAAAGCGTATCTCCGGGGATGCGCTTTTCATACGTGGTATCCAACTTAGCATAAAATCAGATAAATCGTGTCCCCATAGATGCGCATTTCGCCACCTCAACCGAAAGGGTGACACTTCAAAAAATATAAAACAAACTGTGCTAAAAAGAGAGATATTTGGTTAGAGGGCGTAAATCGCCGAAAGTTGGTACCCATTAAGTCAAAGACAAAAGGAAATGACGGGTTGCCACGTTGTACATACAATCAGACACTGACATATAGGCCCCACCCACGAACCCACGTCAGCAGTACTAGTAATCTTGCCCGCGGAGCCACTGCCGGCTGGATTTTCACTTTAATTTTAAATTCTTAGCTTTTTATCAAGTTTTTTAATTTTATTTCTTTAATCTACTAAATTTAATTCTAAATATTTATTTTAGTTCTTATGCTCTTATAATTTTTTAATTTGATGTATGTTATTTAAATAAAAACTGCATCTAAATTAAAGTAGCCAATAACTATCATTGACTCTAATAATATCATAATATTTTTAGAAACTAAGAAATTAAATAATTAAATTTATTAATAAATATCAAAATATTCAAAATTAAACACCCAATTTCTGATTTTTTTATTATTTTAATTTTAATTTTCTTTCAAAATTTTATAATATACTTATAGTTCAAACACCAACAAAATTTCATTTTCTTGTACTCACGGTTGCACTTAAATGGATCAATTTTCAAATATTTTCATTTTGATATCTATATTTCCAAAATAAAAGAATACAAAATTAGCTGTAGATATCAATAATTTTATCGATTACTGTACAAATAATCATATTTTCTAATTAATCTTAAAATATCCTATTTTTCTAATTATTTGTTTTCTTCCAATCTTTTCCCTAATTTAGCCGGTTCCAAGTGAGAAAAGAGAGAGTTAAAATTGGAGTATGTTGGCAGTTTTAATGCAAGAAAATTAAAAAAAAAAAACCCCATTATTGGTGTAAATATTGAGTAAGAAATACAGCAACTAGTGGCTTAGAACCCTTTCGACGGTAGAGTTCAAATTCAACGTCATGGGATACCTACTGATTACTTTACTTACCAACTAACTCCATAAATCATTATCAAAATCATTATTAGTGGCTTAGAATCCTTTGGACGGTAAAGTTCATTTTTTTATTCACTAAACAAGTCCATTCCACCAACCATATTTGGTCAAAACTTGTGTATTTCTTTTAATATTTCTAATTCTTATATTTTTAAAATTAATTTAATCCCACAATTTTCTAAAAATCACATTAAATCTCTTAAAAAATTGAGCATGGTTTTTGTTTAATATGCCTTTCGAATCCCAGGGGCGGCCCACCAGCCACCACCGCCCATCTTGATTCTGAAAATCGATTGGTTTTGGCTTGCATGATTTCATCAAGAGATATCAAGGGTCCTAATTCGTCTGTCGTATATGATTTCTCACAGCCATTTCAAGTTCATTCAGGGTTTTTAGTATATATTTTTCAGACGCAGACATTCTCCAAACAGAGAATCCGACGCAATAAAGAAAACCTTTTTTTTTGGTTTAAAGTTTTTCTTCTTCTGATAGCATCAGGTAACTTGTACTGCCACCACCCATCAACATGTCATCGCATCACCTCTCTGAGTTGGACTCCACCACCGATTCCGTCGCGTCGTCTCCACGCTCCGAACACCACGCTCCGAACGATGGTCATACACGTGTACGCTTCATGTGCAGTTTCGGCGGCAAGATCCTCCCCCGTCCGCATGATAATCAGCTCCGTTATGTCGGCGGCGATACTCGCATCGTCGCCGTCCATCGATCCACCTCCTTCGCATCCCTCATCACCAAGCTCTCCAAACTCTCAGGCAATCCGATAAATCACTAAAATAAGAGAGAATTTTCTGTTTAGTTATCGTTTTGACATCATATTTAATCTGATCTAACTGCGTTTTGTGATCAGGAATTGCGAGCGTCAGTGTTAAGTATCAGCTTCCAAACGAGGATCTCGATGCGTTGATATCGGTGACTACCGACGAAGATCTCGAGAATATGATGGAAGAATATGAGCGGCTAGCACAAAATCAAAACCCTCGGCTAGCTCGGCTGCGCCTTTTTCTTTTCTCCAATGGCGATGACTCACGAACCAGTAGTATCAGCTCGCTTTTGGACGGCTCGGTTAATCGTGAGCACTGGTTCTTAGACGCGCTAAACAGTCGAGCCAATGGGCTCGAACGCGGCCGCTCCGAGGTTTCCTCGATCGTTTCGGAGGTACCCGATTATTTATTCGGGTTGGATAACTCCGATGAGGTCCAACCTCGTGGCCCGAAATTAGGTACACGTCAGCAGTTGCATGATAATGTCTCAGTCTCGGACCCGGATTCTCCCGCCCCGGTCGTTTCTTCACCTTTTTGTTCAACCTCATCAGCTCCGGTTGTACCTTCAATGCCGGATCTCCCACCCGTTAAGACTAAACCCGATAACCCCGAACCGGTTTTTGAGTCTAAGCATAATCAAACGGAGAGTTTCGTGGAGCAACCCGTTTCGCAGCCAACGACATATTCTGCTAATCCTCCTCTGTGGCATTATGTTCCGGATTCTCATTATCCTGCTCCTCCTCCCGTGCAGCAAATACCCATTTATTATGTTCCGGGTCCTGTTCAACCCGGAAATCCTCAGGTTCATCCTGTTCAAATCCGGCCACAGTTTGTCCAGCAGTATCCAATTTCAACTGGTCAAATACCCGTTGGGTATCATCAACCGGTTCCTGGTATGGGTCAAGCATACAGACCCGTCACGGTCGTAGATCATTATGAGCAGGAATTAAGAGTGGGTCCTGATGGTGTGAAGCAACCTATATATTATGGGGTCAGAAATGCAGGTCCCGTGCCAGTTTACCCGGGAATGGTGGTTCCGGGTGGAGACGAACAGGGCAGAAATGGGTCGGATGCACATCAGGGTCGGGTCTCCCAGAAAGGCCAGTAAACGGTTATGTCTTCTATAATTAAGCGCCTTTTCTTTTTGTGTAATTAAAACTGTGAATTGGGGGTTTTGAGTTTTGAAACAAACTGTATAAAAAACTCGAGCTCTGCTTTGCTCTAAATATGTATTATATTGTTCCTTTTTGTTGTTTTAGTTATACCTTGTTGCTTGAATCCTTGAATTTATCTCTAATAATTTAATTATTTCAGTGTACACTTATCGGCTGTATAAAGTACATGATAGTACTTATAAAGTTACTGGTTGTATAATTAGAATTTTTGATAAATTTTTCTCTTAAGTTGAAAATATAACCATTTTTAAAAAAAAATAATGATAAAATTTTAATTTATCATTTGCATTATAAAACTTTTTTAATTTATCTTTTAAGTCAAAAAAATATCTTTTTAAAGTTGAATTGAAAAAACATAGTTGTTCGATATAAGAACTTTCTTTAATGTTGTAAGTTTTTTTATTATTATAAGATTATATATATATATATATATATATATATATATATATATGATTATGATTCATTAATGTAAAACTTTTTCGTTTTATATAGAATTAAGATATTTGGATGAATGAAAATTGAAGACTGATACTAACTTATAATTTTTTTTCTTTAAATATATTATTATTTCTCATCGTTAATCTCAAACATTTAATTTTACTTATTCAATCGTCTTAAATTTGTGTAAAACTAAAAAAAATTGCATGGTATAATTGGATCACTTTATATATATAAGGATTTTAGTGTTACTCTCTCTATTATCAAATGCAATTGCTATTTGATTCTCTAGATAATATGTTTCACAAAATCAAAACTTAATTGGTTATTCAAACTTTTGTTAATTGAATTAACCTTCGAGTCTTTAACAATGGTCCAATGCTCTGCTAGACATTTTATTACATATTATTGGCATGATAATTCTTAATATTCGACAATACTTGTCATCCAAACTATTATATAAGATGTTTGATGCTTAGGTTTATGTTCCGATTTTTTAGGTAAAAAGAAATCGTGTGAGGAATTTCTTCAAAAAACTAAAAATATTTCAGAAATATTTTGATTCCATATTAGGGATAATAAAGAAACTGAATAAATCAAAAATAAAATTAAACTGAAATATTTGAACGATTAATGGTTCATAACTTAAAATTGTGATAACTCGAATTAAATTGGATTCTATTTTTTATTTAATTTATAATTTATTTTATTTTTTATAATATAAAAAGTATTTTTTAGTTGAAATAGTGAAATTAAAATAAAATCCTAACAATTATTACTTGTTTTTATTTATTTAAAAAATTAATTATTTAAAATAAAATATTAAAAAAAAACTACGAAACTAAATAATTTTTAAAATAAATTTAAAATATTCCTAAAACTGGGTGTAAGCTTTCATCAATTATTCAATTGCCTTTCCCTCCGGCAGGCTGATAATTTCATCCTACAAGCATCGGAATTACGAGTTAAATGGATCCCACCTAATCCTGGTTGGGTATGTATGATTGTCGAGTAGTTGCGGCTCGACTAGTCTTAAGGATACGTTACGAACATATGAAATATTTTATATTCTCAACGCACATATAAATGAACTTGTTGAATCCTATGGATACATTATACGAACAGGAGATAGTGTACATTCTCAACATACGAACATAAAAATTTGTTGAATCTTGTGGATACACTATACGAATAATAAACTTCGTTGACAGATGAATTATCCTCAAAGACACACCAACAGATGAACTTGTTGAATTCTAGGGATACATCATACCGCGAATAGACGAATAATAGATTTGATACTTTTAGTGACCGTTCTTAATGTCATTAAAAGTGCATTTTCTTGTAGTGTTTGTATGATCCCTGTGCAGAGAATGATTGTTCCAGGATGCTTTGAAGTTCTCCAAATGTTTTGCTTTTGTCAATTTCCCCTGCAGGGTTGGAGCTACATAAAGGCAGCTGGATAGCACCAGAGGTTTCTGCATTTGATGCTTTTGGAGCATTTCCTGGTGGGAGAACAATTTCGGATGAGCTCTTCGGTTCGGTTTCGATGATGGGAATTTGAAAAGATTCAGTTTTTGGCACTAAATCGTGTTTCAAACGTCTGCTCAAGTGAGTATTCCAATAATTTTTAATCTCGTTATCAGTTCTCCCAGGCAACCTTGATGCAATCACTGACCATCTGCAAAATTCACCACAAAATCCAACAGCATTTATCTTTCATTATATGAAACAGATCAAATACTTTTTACAAGTCTTCAGCAATTACCGATTTCCAAGCTTTTGATGTAAATCAAGTATTGTTTCCACTTCTTCCCTTGTGAAATTCCCATGCTTAAGCCCAGGCCTTAGATAATTCACCCACCGAAGTCTGCAACTCTTCCCTGACCTTTGCAATCCTACAACTCAAAGAAAGACTATGAAAAATACTTAATATAAGTGTAAATTAGTAGCCAGAAACTTCAGTTTCTCTATGGTATTGGTTATTTTCACGCATTTTTTCGCTAGATTACCTGCTGGTTTGGCCATCTGTGACCAGTTCCAAATTCCATATCTAGTTATATAAGCTATCAACTTACGATCTTCTTCGGGATTCCATGGCCCTTTCTTCAGAGTTATCTTTTCATCAGACTTTGCCATCTCTGCAATGAGTGATTAATGCAGATTTGAAGCTTGATGCCAAAAGCAAAACTCTTTATAGAAAGATTTGATTCAGTTTATCTTTCATGATTCTGTGGAAAAACGTGTTTCAGTGTCCCTATAGTCCAATAACAGGACAATTACTTAGCAAAAGAAGATTCCTCGTGGAACATCCCTCGGAAGAGTGTACTCTTTTCTTTGTCAAGAAAATGGTTAAAAGAAATGCTATAATATTTGGATTCACAAATTCAACTGCTCTTGTGTAAGGCTGCTGATGTCTTGTGGCTCAGGTCATCAGTACACAGCGTTTCTCACATGTAGAAGTATCTTTTGAAGAATACAATCACAAATGACAAATCCGAATAATTATAATTAGAATCGATCGTTATAAAATATGATCGGACTGATAATCGAAATATATCAAAACCTAAACCATTATCAAGTTATAATAAAATGAACACATCGATGCCATGACTGCAGAATGAAGCTTGTTGCATCCTTTTCATTTTCTTCAAATTGAGGGGTAAACCAAATAAACTTACTACAAGGGGGGGTTAGTAAAAAAGGTTATGTCTTGGCTGCAGGTCTCAGAAGCTCAAACCCCTACGCTCTCAAACTCCTTGAAAATATCCTCAAAAAACCTTACCACCTCGTTCACATCATCACTGAATGACTCCTCCATCGCCTCATCATTTTCCTGCCCCAGAGCATTATCGGAGTGCATCAATTCTTTCAAAATATTCTCATCATCATCATTTAGTCCAAAGCCACCGATAAAGCCTCTAGGTGAGCGCCTACTTGACCACGGTCTTCGACGATAATTACAAAAGGACAGTCGTGTGCCCAAAATTCAGGACTTTGAGGCCCTTGGCACGGCTCTTGGTAAAACTTAGAAGGCCCAGACAATTTTTTTGGGCCACACTATTCAAAGTAAACAAATTTCATAGGATAACCACCATGACACCTATTTTTCCCGTCGATACAGAATAAGACACTCAACAAATGAAACCCCACATCCAGGGCGAAAAGAGGAAGGTAGAACCACTCATAATCCATGTTGGAAACCAAACTACATTTTCTAATACAACAAAACTCCGAGGGGACATAGAACTTAAAATTATCTCACAACAAACCTTGATTTAGAAGCAGGTTTCGGGCCTCGTTTTAGGGTCGGTTATGCAAACGAACACGAAAGCCTCAACCGGAGACGAACGATTTGCTTCCACTCTCTTCTCTTAACTTTTTTCTGCCCTCACTGCATCCTTCAACATTGTAATAGAAAAGCTTAAGAAAGTAATTAGTGAATACTGGAAAGAAAATGGCAAGTAGAAAGTCGAACACATAAGAAAATTAAGGATTTTCCCCTAACACCCTTTTAAATAGCTAGAGGAAAATATTTGATAGACAATCGAAATACTTTATCTCTCCATTTCACCAATCACATAGCGACACACGTACAATTATCAGCTGTCTAAAAGTTAATCATCACAATAATTCTCCAAAAATGAAAAATAATGAAGTCCATAGTTGCACACACTAGTATCAGGTCAAATCACTTTATGACATTCATTCAATCAAGAGAAGACAAATGTTATACCTCTTCAAAATCTCTTCTGTAAGACTAACCTCCGCATATTAAGTTTAATGAAAAACCTCTCCTATGAGAATAAAGACTAATATCATACTCATATCTTTGGATGCGAGAGCTTAGGAGTTGTGCATCCCTTGAGAAATCATGACATTTTGATATGACTTTTGATAGGTTTACGTGACTTGACAGAGTTACTAATAACTATAATGACTCTATGTCTGTCACTAACAATGAGGGTTTCTATAAAACCTCTCAATTAAGATAGAGAGAAGGGGCTAGAACTTCTATTTTTACTAACACCCATCTTCTTCTTCTTCCTCATGGAGATAGAAAGTTTTAACATCGACCAACCATCGTATAATTATTGACGATAATTCTTCATCTAAATTAAAAGAATACATCACCAACATGCAATATAATTCGTTTGTTCCTATCAACAATGTTGAAATCACCCTAGAAATGAAGCAAAAATCTAGTGTGAAATCTCCCTCGTCACGACTACTCTCTTATAGGTATGTGCACTACAAATGTTGTGAGTGATCTTTATTTGAGTAAGTATTAAAAGGTTGGGCATTTTCAAAACCTTTTGAAAGATTATTATTTTTTCATTCTTTTATAGTAGTGTAAAAGTTTTCGTAATTCTTTAATGAAGACTACTCATGAATACTGTTTTTCATGATTATGTTATATGGTGGGCACGTGAGTTGTCGAAGGTCATTCTTCAACAACTCATGCCTTAATTTTCAATTAATACTTTTAACCATATACTTAATGATTAACATAATCACATTTGGGATATGAAATCAATCAAAGAATTGCAGTGATTGGTCGATGTCGTAATTAAACGATAAGAGATGATTAAATAAATTACTTTTATGATAGCGCTAAAACAACATAAATATATTATTTAATTTGGTACTAATTTCTAATTGATTAATGTTATTAATCCAATCACCTTAACGGTTGGCATCAGCAAAATCCGAACACTGATACTCCCTAGACTTTTAGGATATTTACATTTTAACTATTAAAACTTTAATAAATTTTTATTACGACCACTATCATCAATTACTGTTAAAGAAATTTAATGTCACATCTCAACATCACATCTCAACATATCATTTTATTTAATAAATTAAGTTTATTTATTTAATGAAAATATATTAATTACAATATATTATAAAACAGAACATAATTTTAATAATCTGAGTATTATTTATTATTTTATTTTTTATTTCATAATACATTAAACACAAATATTAATATATATTTTAATTAATATTATAATTTACATTATAAATCTATCTTTATGATATTTTATAATTTATATTATAATTAATATTTTTATGATTATTTTATTCTTCTCATTCATTGATTTTTTTAGTTTTGTAACATAATTTGAAGCAGCTTTTGTGAAAAACAGTGCTGGGTTTTTTCTGGTCTTTGGATATACATAATGCATCTGAATAAGCTGATAAAATATCATTTGACAAATTCATCTTGTTGTGGAGATTGGAGAATATGAACAACCTGGATGATCAAGGCAGGGTCTTCTGCATGCGCTTCAATGGATGTATTTTTCATGGCTGTCCTTGCGAAACCCGGCCAAACATTCTTCGCTCGTTGAAGAACGGGATACCGGCGGCATAGTAGATAATAATGGAACAACTTGATTTTCTTCACTGTCTCCGCCATCATTGTCGTCACTACTGTCCTCCTCATCGACATCATCATCTTCATTGTCTTTATCGCGTGTTCCTTTGTTGTTTATCTCCTCTTTGGAATCATTTCGATTGACGCAATCCTCGCAAACGGAAACAGTCGGGGCGAGCTTCGGTCCAGAGCCAGTCCAGGACGTCGGAGACTGACAGAGGTGACAGAGAAGAGTTCTTAGATGTTTAGCAACAAGAAAATTGGAAACATGAACTCTGGAATCACAATCCCAGCACAAGATGGCTTGATCTGATTCGCAGTACATCTTTGCTAAAGAATCACAGAGCTCACACTTTTTCATTTTACCTTGAAGCTTGAATTTCCATGTCATCAGCACAGTGTGTTTTATGCCATATATGCTGTTTGACACATGCTCAAGGGCAACTTGTCAATGCTTATATATGTATATATATATATATATATATCCTTTTCTATATATATATATATATATATATATATATATATATATATATATATATATATATATATATCCTTTTCTGCTCTGTTTTTTAAACGTAACATTTTTATAAAATCGTACATTTTTTTTAGATTTGGAAAATATTTGGTTTGGGTTAGAAGTAATGCACCAATAACATACAGTGAACTATAAAAAAAATAATGAAAATATTACTTTATTTTTTTAAAATATTATTAAAGAAAAAAGGGAACAAGACACGTAATAACACATATGGCATGAGTACGAGTTGGCCAAACGATAGTAGCAATACATACGTATAAATCTTATATTCAATATCCAATGAGTATATTTAAAAGACTATACTTAAACAATTTAAAAATTCATGTATATACAATTTGAGATTTGAGAATATCATGAAAAATTTATAGACTTCGAGCTGTCAAAAATATTTTTAAACTTGATCAAACTCGTATCAATGTGACAATTGTCTTTAATTGTTATATTGATGCAAATTTTATTAAATTTAAAAAAAAATTGTCTTTCACATCTCAAAATCTACAAGTTTTTATCATGATATTTTCAAATCTCACATTATTTATACACTTGTTTTTTAAAGTGTTTAAATATAATCTTCTAAATATAATTAAGTGATTGAAGACAAGGTCTATACACATGTCAATCCGTCCAGCTGATCCTGTAATTACATGTTGAAACATACCACACATGATTTTTTTAATAAAATTGTACAATTTTGACCTAATATTTTTTATTTCGGTCTCAAATAACATCAGAATTGAAGAAACCGTCTGAACATTTTGTTGTGTAGGTAAAGGCATTCCCTCTAAAACATCTTTGAAAGACACTTCTATCTCGACACATCTTTATCTAAAGAGTGTCATTTTAATAAATAATGTTGTTAGATGTTATTTTAATTAAAAAAAGTTAAATAATTGTTCTAATTTATTAGCATCGACGGTTGTAAAGTACATATTAGCAAAGACCTAGTGGATTGACTTTAAGTCAACAACCTTTTCCTATTTCACAAAGTAAATATAGTACTTAGATTAAACAAGCAACATGAAGGGGGAAATGGTTGTTTTGAAATTTCTTAGGTGGGATCTTAGTCATCTACGCACAATAAGTACGACGGTGGTACGATTTTGTTAAGGGATTTTCGACATAAGTTCGAGCAGGAAAATAAATTTGTGGGTCATTGAAGAAACTGGTGGTTGAGTTGAGGAGTTTAAAAAAAGAAAAGAAAATTCTAGTTGCTTTGGAGGCGTGAAGATGAGCTTTGTCCGGCTTTTGATACTCGGCATGGGGTGGTGGACCTGCTTCGTATTCTGCAAGCCTTCATGTGTTGTAGGCAGCTGTTAGGGATGCATCAAGGGTGTGTCCTAGTCGTTCATATAATTTTTTAAATTCACCTATATTTTAAATTTTTTTATATTTTTTATTTAACCCTTAAAATTTTATAATTTACTTGCCTCTGAAATTTTATAAATTCGTTCCTTAACATAAAATTTTGTGTCCGTTCATGGCAGATGTGGATCTACACGTAAGTGAGAGTATGTATATGTATATTTGAAATTTAAATTTCTTAAAGTAATTATTTACCTTAAAATTTATTTTTACACATCTCGTATAAAAATTTTATGTTATTAATATATATGTACTCTAAAAAATATTTCTAAATTACTACATGTTATGGGACGAGGTTTAACTTTCCTCATTTCTATGGCTCAGAAACCCTTTTCTTAACCCTTTGTGGCATGAAATTGAGCGATGTAAAGCTTGAAAGCATCTATTTATCATCCCCACCAAATTAACTGAGCAGCGAGATAGAGACATAGTAAAATTTTATGTTAAAGAGATAATTTTTAAATTTTTTGGAGAAAACAAGTTTTAAATTTTTAAGGGAATGAAAGCAATTTACAATAAAAATATATAGAAAAGTTTTAAAAAGACGAATTTTCAACCCCTTACTCCATCCTGAACGGAGGACAACTACAAAGAAAATGGGGTGGCCATGGGCAAGATTCCCTAGATAATTTACTTGGCATGAGATTCATACCACCCATTCTATCCAATTAAGATATTAAGAATCTATTGCATGGCTCAGTGGGAAGTCCGTCATGCTTTTTAGAATAACCTTTTTAAACAAAGTGGTCTACATTTCATATAAATGGATCAGAGCTCAACCTTCACGTATTTTCTAACATACGATGATATGACATTACAGATTCATTTTGTTCTTAAAGAAAAATATAACATTTATCTAATTAGACAAAAAAAATGCTAAGATATATATGTTAGAATTTCGCAAGCAACAAAATAACTAGAGTGATATCAACCTAAAATAAAACCTAAATAAGAGTAAGATTTAACGTGCTTTAGCTTGTCTCTACTGATGATAAGAATAATAATCACTATAAAGAGATTATGAAAGATACAAATACATGATATCTCACGTATCTTACAATTCAATATCTATGCTTATACGATGTGCTAGAGAAACGAACCCTTCGAATTATCTAAAATATGATTAGATGTGTGTATGATTGATTCGAATGAATTATGATATTTTCAACTTATATTTAGATATAAAATTCTTAAGTCTCGACTAATCTAATAAGAATATTTTGTATAAATATTAATGATATAAATGTATGGGAAATGAAAGAATGTTTAGTATGCATACATGTATGAGATAAAAGTGTATGAAATGCGTAATGATGATTGATATGTATATGAAATTAAAAGCATTATAACTTTGTTAATTCGACTATATGAATATATTTAATTTTTCTTTATATCTATATATATATATATATATATATATATATTTATGTATAATATATGATAGGATGATAATGTTTTGGTATGATGTTTGAGGTAAATGATATGTTTCAAACACTTTCAATGTAAAACATGCTTATATACTTATATATATTATATACTTAACTGATTATTTGTATATTTGATATGCTTGTATGCCTAAATGACTGAGATGAGATAAATCGTAAATATGAAGAAAAAAAAACTTTAAAATAATATGGTTACAATAATGATTGAATATACATGTCTTGTCTTATGGCCTAAATGGTATGGGCATAACTATACGACAAATTACACTATCATTATGTATAAAGTATTCAAAAAATGTAAAATAAAAATATTATTATATTTTCAATTGTAATATGTTAATAAATAACAGTAATTCATGTTGATAGAGATAATCGAAGTTTTTTGATAAAGATATTTATTTTTTATTTTTATAATTATAATTTTTAATTTTAATTTCAATTACTTCAATTAAAAGATATTTAAGGTTATTTTCTGCCGAAATAATGTTTGTTTTGGTTTATCATCATTCTGGATTTGGTAAAATTTGATTTCACTAATGTTTAAAGACATGTTCGATTCACATTGCATGTAATTTTATGCTATGTTCTGTAATTGATTTATGTTATTTGACAATGTTTGTACATGTGACCATTGATGGGTCTAGTCATGATTGATATAACAAAAACTGTTTTGATCCTATTTAGATATAGTTGATGGACGAGATTGTTATAAAATACTTATTATATGATAGCAAATTTTGAGCTCATAAAATTATATATTTGTCAAGAACATATGTTGTCCAAGTGAAAGATTATTGGATTAAAATCTATAATTGTGGGTACATATGTAAAATGTACAATGTTATCACAAGGATGACAAAAATTAAGTGACAAATTAAGCTATATATGTCATATTTATTAAAGTGTCATGAAATAAAGTGTAGATATCATAAGTTGTATTTATAATTTGATGAGTGTAGAATTATAAATACTTAATAGACTAAATATTAGGTTAGTTTATATAAAGATAGTGGTTCTCAAGAAATAGGTTAACTTGTATCATTTTTACCCAGTCAGAAGTTTTCACGACAAGAAAAACCTAATTTTTTGGAAGATCGCAACCAGTTTCTCGACGATTTTCATCAAAGAATTTAGACCGTTTCTTATTTAATATTTATTTTTGATTATTTTACCTAATAAATCTTGATATTGATTTCATATCTTAAATTTTAGTTTTAACGCTTAAAATTTGGAGTGGAGCAATAAATGAGGAAGGCGACAAAGAGGGTGGCATGAAATATGAAAATCCCAGTAATTCCAGGTCCAGGATTTGTAATAATAACTAAAGGGTCCAAAGCCTGGGAATGGGATTGAAACTTCGAGTGGGGCGGCAAATCACGAATCTGACAAAGAGGGTGCCGTGCTAATTTTGCTTGTGTGCGTCTTATTGTTTGGTCGGTAATAGTAGATTCGAAAATATTTTTTAAAAATAGACACATATATATATAAATAATATAATTTTTTTATATGAAACAGATATAAATAAAATTTTAAGATAGATATTATAAATAAAATAAATAATTAATATAAAAAATCAAATTTTAGGATAAACACATACCTACCTTAGAAAATGCATACATCCACCACTGCGCCGGAGAGAAGACGGCCTACGGCAAATAAGGACACCTCCCAGACTTTGTCCAATATTCAAATTCCAATTACCGCTACCTGTAAACAACATCAAACCAATAAAGTTGCAGAAAATAAATGGCGTACCTCATAACACTAAATATAATAAGTCTCGAACTAGAGACATTAGAGATTGTAGACCATAACATTACAATTGAGCCAAAAATTTGTTCATACTAATCATTTTTAACATTCAAATATTTACATAGCAGTACTTGATGGAAATTTGTGTCCAAAGGAAACGATCTCTAGAAAAGAAATAGGGTAAACTACACTAATGGTTATTGTAATTTTGGAGTACTTTTATTTTGGTCATCAAAATTTTAAAACTTGCATCACAATAAACTTTTAATTCACTTACGTTACGATCTTTGACGTTAAGAAAAGCTATGTGACACATTAAAGTCTTCTTCAAAAAAAAAATCTAAGGTTTTAAATTGATAGTATCTGTAAAGGCCAATTTTTCGGTGAACGGAGAGATCGTCAATTAACCCCAACAATGTGAAGGCTAACCAGAAGTTTAACATATTCGATTTCAAATTGATTCGGCCATTGACAATGGAGGACAAAAAAGTTTTAAATTTTAGTTTCGATTGAGATTTGAGGAGACTGGAAAGCTTTCCAACAAGTTTAAATCAAAGGAAAGAAAGAGAAGTTGATGAAGATGAGTTCAATGATCTTTTTGATTGGCAAAACCACTGAATGGCAGTAAAAATGATGACGAAAGGAGAAAAAATGTCTGTTAGATTTTTAGGGTTTTAACATGCCATATCAGTTTTTTTTAACAACAGCTAGTGACAATGGCCGCAATGAGAGCGAATTAAAAGTTTAGAGACTATAATGTAAGTTTTAAAAGTTTAGTATTCAAAAAGAAAATAGCCTAAAAGTTCAATGACCGTCATTTTTGTAGTTAACCCAAAAGAAATACTACTTGATACGACCAAATATCACATGCAGCTTCGAGGAAAGGACGACGATTTTCCTACACTAAAAGGCAAAAACTTCGTATCTTTTATCCACACCTTTAATTTGTTCTCATTAACACTCTTTCCTCGAACATTTCTTCTCCTTCTCACCCCTTTAGCTTGATTCTCTTTCCATCACCTATAAATACCCTCCTTCTGGATCAATCTTTCCATCATTCCAAAATCATACAAACAAGGTTTGTTTTGTACGTGTTCGATGGCGTCTCGAAACGGTGTCGTGTTCGAAGATTTCTTCCCGGCCATGGTTGAGAAATTGGGTGCCGAAGGTTTCATGAAGGAGCTGTGCAATGGGTTCCGTTTGCTTGTGGATGGGGACAAAGGGGTGATCACTTTCGAGAGCTTGAAGAAGAACTCGGCATTGCTTGGGTTGCAAGATATGAGCGACGAAGAGGCCATGTGCATGTTGAGAGAAGGTGATTTGGATGGGGATGGGGCTTTGAATGAGATGGAGTTTTGTACACTCATGTTTAGGTTGAGTCCTGAGTTGATGAACAGTTCCATGAAATTATTGGTTGAAGCTATTGTCAATTTCTAGACCCTTCGTTAAACCAGTTATCAATCTCATTTATAAGCAAAATAGGTGTTTCTACTGTAGCTGATATGTGTTTAAGTATTAATCTTATTGTCCCTTGAGACATGTGTTACGTATTTTTTTTTCTTCTAAATATGGAATCAATGAATCCCTAATTACATGTTTATATATGGAAGGAAAAGGGAAAATACATTTTGGTCACTTAACTATTTGTTTTTAAAATAATACATAATGTCACGTTTTGATTTCATTTTGGTCACTCATCGTTAAAAAATTAAAAATACCGATGTTACATTTTTTATTTTTCAATGATGATGTGGTCTTATCTTATGGTGACACATCAACATCACCATTAATTTTTTAACAACGGATGACCAAAATGAAACTAAAACTAAACATTAGGCATGATTTTGAGAAAAAATAGTGGAGTGACTAAAACGAAATAAAAATGATAGTTATAGTACTAAAAGTATAGTTTACCCTAATATTTATACCGATAAATAAAAGTTGTACCGTATGCAATGTAATTGCTGAGTTTAGGTCTTGATATGTACGTGTACGCATGTTGTGTTTATGTTATTTTTCGTATCATTTTTGTTTTATATAGTTCCTCACAATGATTTAATTTGGAGGTTCTTTTTCATGTATGTCAAGTTTGAGTAGTGTTTTAATTCATAACATATTTTAGATAATTTATTATAATGATTTTTTATTTTCTAAGATTGAGTGTTTATGTCATGTTGTATTTTTTCTTTAATGAAGTAATATAAATTTATATATATTTTTAAATATTAATAATTTATTTTTTATAACTTTTGATATGTTTGTGTATTTGAATCACAATAATTTTATTTTTAAGGGTAATTACACCGTTTTTCACTGAACTTTATTATTTATCCTATTTCACTCACTGAATTTTTAATTCTTCAAATTTGCTCATTGAACTTTATATATTAAATTATTTTGCTCATTCAACCGTTAAATTTCTAACGACATTATAACATGAGAAACCTATACCAAAACGACGTCGTTTTAGATTCCTACACAAAATCAAATTTTGTTCAAAACGAGTAATTTTGATTCCTTATAAAAATTTATTTTTTCCCATTTATTCATTATTCTTCTTCTTCTTTCACTCTTTATCTATTTCTCTCTCTATCTCTCTCTATCTAAACCAATCTAGCACCCTCCCAGAATAGGTTATGCTCGATTGGCAAGGATAGATTTTTGAAAGAAAAAATGTTAAAAATTCAGTTAATTTCTAAATCATAAACCTAAAATCACCAAACTCAATCCATAAAAAGTGAAACTTTCAAAAATTTGAACTTGTTTCCATTTAAAGCTTACCTTAGATGGAGCGGGATTGTAATCAAACCCATCATGAAAAGCAAAGCCATCGGGATTAGAGAAGAGCAGGCGATGACAGGGGCTCTGTTGTACTTTTTAGAGTTGACGAGGGAAAGGAAGCGAAAACGAGAGATGGGAAAAGAGGCAGGGAAGAGGAGATTGGGCTTTGGGATTGAACATGTTTCGGAGGAGAACAAAGGAGGGAGGGACTAAGAGGAAATAGGGGCGGCTGCCATGTAGATTATGTTCGACCACCACAGCTCTTCCTTACCTTCGTTCTTTCTCTGTCAATGAAGGTGAAGGAACGACCGGTGATGGTTTGGAGATTGCGATTGGCAATGAGGTTTGATTTTAGGTTTTTTTTTTTTACTTTTTATTTTACAATCCTATTTGGTACTAAATATTAATATTTTTTTTATTTAATATCAATTTGATGTGGTATGTTTAATATTAAATTATTCTACATCATCCAACTGTTAGAAATTTAATGGTTGAGTGAGTAAAATAATTTAATCTGTAAAGTTCAGTGAATAAATTGAAAAAAATAAAAGTTCAGTGAATGAAACAGGAGAGAGAGTAAAGTTCGATGAAGAATGTTGTAATTTACCCTATTTTTAATTATTTCATAATTTGTAAATTTTTATATTAGGTTAATTTAACTTTAACTCTAAATTTATCCATTTAAAGGTCAAATTATTATTACTTGTAATAATGTAAGTACGATAATAACGGATATAAAATTTTACAAAATAAATAACACCAAAATTTAAGTCAAAAAACTATCTTAGGAATAAAATCATATATAGAAGAGGAGAAGATTCACAATGTCGAAAAATAATACAAGAAGATTTGTGTCTAAATTTTTGCAAAGGAAACATGAATAGAAAGAAATCGAATTAAACCAAGTTTCCTACTCTTCATCAACACACAAAGGAAAAGGTCAAGTTTTACACATAATTAACTTCATCGCTCGTCATTGCATATCTCCATTTTAACCTTTATTTTAAGTGAGTTTCTTCCTAACCATCTCGAGTCTGAATAAAAAAAATTGAGCCACACAATTCTAATAATTTCTACCTTGACATAAATTCATGCCGTACAAGTTCTGCACCTCTTCTATGAAATCCCTTTAAAAATGCATTCTTCAATAGAGAACATCGGCCAAGTTCAAGCAATGCTCAAATTTAGTTGTAAAAGTAACTTAGTCATCAGATCAGCAATATTATTATAAATACTAATTTTGCTCACAACAATTTTACCTGAAGAAATAATATCACGTACGAAGTGATATTGAATATCAATATATTTTGTTATTTCATGAAATATGTGATCATTGTAAGATGGATGACACTCTAACTATCACAAAATATTATATTGATCTAAAGGTGTTCACTAAATTCACTAAAGAGCGCGTTTAACCAAATTGCTGTTTACGATCCTCAATAATCACCATTTATTCAACTTCAATAGTTGATAGAGTAAATACTATGTGAAGTGACTTTCCAACTAAAGGCATAAGCTCGATAATCACCATATACTCTTAAACTATTAATCTATCAATAGGTATTTATACATCTATTAAGGCTATCATCGTTGTAATATAGATTTTACAAACTAATACACAAATTTTGAATCATTAAATCGCAAACTTCCAAACTTGCATAATTTTTTCAAATAAAATTTTTATTTTTATTTTTTGTAATTAACAAATAATAGAAAATATAATAACAAATATTGTTGGTATATATTATAACTTAAAATATTAATAATCATAAAGTGATAATACACTAAGAAAAATATTACTAATAAACTATTGATAAATTAGTATTTAGTAGTACACATTTATACAAATACATATATTAATGAATTTCTAAAATTTGAGGAGATGACGAACTTATTAAATTTTAGGAAGTGAAAATAAATTATTGATACAAAATATAAAAGAAAAATCTAAAATATATGATAATTTATTTATTTATTTTTTAAGAGAAACGACTCTCCCAATGACCCTTCAATTTATCCCTGAGTGTGTTTAAACAAGAAATGCGGTCGTTTGAAGCTCCACCGGTGCAGTTTCATGGCCATGTTTTATAGCAATCAAGTCAGTCTGATCTCCATTAAGATAATCTTTCATGAAAGCAACAATAGCTCCTCCAACAATCCTTCTCATCGGCTCCCTAGCCTTGCCATTTTTGCACAAACAGTACGATGAGCGTCCTCTTAACCCTTTAGTCTCATCATCCAACATGTCGAGATGACCATAGTCCTTGGCAACAAAATGACAAGCCGGTTTTCTACATTCTTTGAAGAAATCCTCATGGTTAACTCCCTTGGGAGCACAAGGAGGGAACAAAGGGTGTCTTCTCACTTCACCGAGACCCGAACCGATAACCATCACTGCCATATCGAGATCGAACGAATGAGGAGCATAAGTGAGTACTGGAGGGTGTGTTTGTTTCCTTGAATCCATTCCATCGACGGGGTCTACGCCTATTAAGGCCGAAAAGTTTAGCGTCGCCATTGCCTTCTGCAGAGCTAGCGCGAAAGCAACTTTGCCTCCTCTGCTGTGGCCGGCAAGTGCGAGCTTGCTTAAGTTTGGCCGACCAAGTTGTGGAAGCAACCCTTGGAGTTCTCCTCTGGACAGCCAATTGGTTATTGCAGCTGTGGACTTAATCTCATCAGTGGCATCTGGTCCGGCCACGGTGTACAACTGTTGGAATATCAATTAGGCTTATTAAAAATTAAATATACTAACAATATATCTTATTCATTTTAGGTGTCTATTTTTTTTATTGAGATAGATGTCTAGTGCTTTCTCTATTAATATTTTACATATCTAGCAGTTAAAGGCCGTTAAAAATAATCAATCAATCATTCAAAACATGGCAAGTGGTGGATTTATAATTTTTGGAATTTTTATTTGAATAAAAACTTAAAATTACTATTATTTTAAAAAAAAACTCCAAAATTTTTTAAAAATCTCAAAAAATTCAAACCCCGAAAATCCTTAAATCAAAAATCCTATTAATGTCATCAACCGTCGACTGCCACCTTCATCGTTGAATGGCCACCCACATGTCGTCGTCCCGCTACTGACTAACCATCACCCTTATCGTTGTCTTAATTCCGTAAATCCTAAAATCCTTGATATCCAAATTTGCGTATTAGGAATTTAGAGATTTAAGGATTTCGGAGACTGAGGCGATGACAAGGGTGATGAAAGGTCAATAAGTGGAAGCGGATGGGTGGTTGGCGATTCAATAATGACAATGGAAATGGTGATGGCCGATTGGTTGTTTGACAACGGTAACAGAGTTTAGAATTAGAATTTTAAAGATTTTGGATTTTTTTTTAAAATTTTAGGATTTGAAGTTTTTTTTTAAATTATTATTTTTAAGTTTTTTAAAATATTTTTTAAAAAGATATTAAGACAACACATATTTTATTTTTAGTGGTTGACAAATTTTTTAACAACAGCAACGGATTAAAAATTTGAAATGATAATTGAGAAAATATTAGAAGCTCTAACAAAAAGAATTTAAACGCCTAAATAAAATAAAAAAATATAACTCGCATATATTTTTTTTATGAAACCAATCAATTAAAAAGAATCATGAGCTTGTATGTAAATTAATCTGCTGGGAAATAGAAAGGAGACAAAGCAGAACCGGACGAATTAATCTGGAGTCAGAACCCCAATAGCTCACATATTTTTTACAAGTCACGTCATAACCATTAATTTTGACTTACTAGCTAAGCTAAATGAACAAGGCGCCACCATAGTTCAAAGCTATTCACACTAGTTTCAAAGAAATTCCCCCGATGACACGATTATCAGTAGGAGCACTAAAACAGACATGAGTTTCCTCCAAAACCATCTGAGCTAAAACTAAATTCTGCATTAAGAAAAAGGAAGCAGATTAGCCTTACATACCTGGGGAGAAATAACAATGAAGCCATGGGAAGCAACATGCTGGAGAAGCTGAGAGTAGAAAGAGTTGTAAAGAAGGTAACCATGGAGGAATATGAGTACTGGGAATTCTCCTGCTTCACAAGGTGTGGCAATAAGCAGTGACTTCGGTGGTGGGACGGGCACTGAAGAAGTGGCCTCCGAGTCCACCTTTTGAAGCACGGTGGTGTAGCTTCCGAAGCCGAAAATATTTGTGGCCGGAGTTGTGGAAGCAGCAGACATGTTTTGTAATCTGTTCTTGATGCTTCTGCTACTTTCTTCAGTTCCAAGTTTGTTTATTGGTGTAGATTGATGGGAACACGACGAGATAAGGTTGTTGAAATGTATGACACACTTTGGCAATTACCCTTTTATAGCACGCACAAGTACTTTTCGCCATTTATGAAGTTGGATATTTTTTCTTATTGGAGTATCAACCCGGAGGTTTAGGCTTTGGGCCTAATTTGCATTATAATATGATAATATCAACAATTTATACCAATCTAGTTAGGGTTAAGCTTTGGGCAATATTTAGGGCCTATGCTGATTGCTTATTTTTATATAATTATCGATATATGACTTGTTATATAAATTTATTATAAGGATAATCATTCTAATTCTATTTATTGGTTAACTATAACCATCATTCAAATTAATCATCAAACTCGTAACAAAAACCTAGTTTTTGTCAACCCCCAACCATTTTCCATTTCTGAATTTCTGAATTTCTCAGAGAATATGTATGATATGGACACTCGTAACAAAAACCTAGTTTTTGTCTCTCCAGCTTCATTAATTTTTCTGCTGTATTCTGTTGCTCAGTTTAGCTATGCGGTTAAAGATACAATCAAGCGAGGCGAAACAATAAGTGATGGCGAGAGCTTGGTATCTGGGAATTCTGTTTTTGAACCGATATTTTTCGGTCCTGGAAACCCCATTTTGAGATATGTGGGGATATGGTACTAATTTGATCCGAAAGCAGTGGTTTGGGTTGCCAATAGAAACAGGCCAATATCAGGCAGAAATGTTTTGATTATCGAAGACGACGGTAAATTAGTCGTCCGCGATAGAAACAACAGTTTAGTATGGTCATCGAATGCTCCTGGTTCATCAACGAACACTTCAGCAAAACTGTCGGATAACGGAAATTTCATGCTATCAGTTGGTGATTCCAACAGGGCCGTATGGCAGAGCTTCGACGAGCCGACCGATACTTTTCTGCCGGGAATGAGAGTTCCGGTGAGCTCTAAAAGAGGCGAGTACGACCTTTCAGCTCATGGAAATCACCGGATGATCCTTCACCGGGAAACTACAGCATGGGAGTTGATCCTAGTGGAGGAGTACAGCAGATAGTAATATGGAATCATGTCAAAAGATGGTGGAGAAGTGGGCAGTGGAATCGACAGCTTTTCACAGGCGTCCCCTTTCTGAGAAACAATGCCAGTACCATCGGTGGTTTCGGCATTTCGCAGCCCGATGAAACCGGAACCATGTACATTACGTACAAGGCATCGACCCCGGAAAAATTTCCGTTTCAGATAGGCTGGGAGGGTAGGGAAAAGCAGTCAAGGTGGAATGCTAGTAAAAAGCAATGGGACTATCTGCAATCGGAGCCTGACCCTGCTAACGATTGTGAGATTTATAATTTTTGTGGGAATTATTCGACCTGTGACCGAAGGCTACCTGATGATCGAAGGTGCATTTGTTTAGAAGGGTTCAGACCATGGTATCAAGCTCAGTGGGATGCAAGGAACTGGTCTGGTGGGTGTGTACGTAAGACCGAACTGCAGTGCCCGAGGACTAATGGTACATCAGTAGTAAAAGCTAAACCAGATATACTTGAGAAAATCAAGTGCACAAAGTAACCAGATTTAGTGAACTTGTCATTGTCCGAGGGGACGAAGAGGCTTGTAAACTACGGTGCTTGGAAGATTGTTCATGTACTGCGGTTGCATTTATACCTGGGATTAAATGCATGATATGGACAGGGGACTTGCTCGATATGCAGTATTTTCACCAAGGTGCAAACATAAATTTCTTCTACCGCCTCCATCATTCCGAATCAGGTGAGCTATGGTCCATTAGAAGTTTTTCACTGTCTTGCTTTCGCCATAGTACCAAATTTTATGAACAAATTTCTTCAAATTGCAGTAACTTTATCAGATATGTGGCCATATCGCCATAGTACCAAATTATATGAACAAATTTCTTCAAATTGCAGTAACTTTATCAGATATGTGGCCATATCTCTAGGAATATTGAGGCTTTAAATTAAGCATCTAGTGATCTGCATCATGTTAACCAAAATGACAAGACCATACACTCATTTTAACATTGATTCTGGTGTATTTATTAGCTGCTTATATATGAAGCAAATTTGAATCTTCTACAAAAACTTTAACAGTGGACATCTAAGACATGTTACACAAAATATACTAACACCTTTCTTTTGTCACTTTGAATGTAGATCGTCGGAGGAAGATATCCAATCGCGTGATAGTCATAATTTCTCTGATCGTGGTAGGCTTCTTGGCAGCATTTTTTCTCCTATGGAGATTCAAGACGAAGCTAAATGGGAATTTTTTTTCTCCCTCGAACGAAATAAGAAATGAAACGAAATGAGGGAATTTATATTTCAGGTTTGTCTGCAGTTTCATCGAAGCCTTGCTGCAAGGACGATGATGTAGCAGTTTTCGATGTGTCCAAGGGAAAAAGCAAAGAATTCTCAACAGATCTTTCGGGACCAACTGATATCCTCATAGATGGGAATCAAGTCAATGGGCCAGAGCTACAAAATTTTGATTTTAGTTGTATTGCTACTGCAATAAACAACTTTTGCGAAGGGAACAGGCTCGGGCAGGGAGGTTTCGGAGCCGTTTAAAAGGTGAGTTTCTTTAGTTTAGTTACAAAACGTTAATGTGTGTCAATGTTACTGAATTGAACCAAAGGTGACAACAGTTTCTGTTTATGTTTTATCACTAGGGCGAGCTTCCTGGAGGTGAACAAATAGCAGTAAAGAGGCTTTCAGGACAGTCTGGCCAAGGCTTAGAGGATTTCAAAACCGAGATTATATTGATTGCTAAACTTCGGCATAGAAATCTTGTTAGACTATTGGGATGCTCCATTCAAGGGGAAGAAAAGCTGCTGATTATGAGTATATGCCTAATAAAAGTTTAGACAATCTTCTTTTTGGTATGTTCCTTGTTATCCAAATTTGCTTTTCTCTCTAATTGTATTTGTTTGATAGCGCTGTGACTGCTTACCGTTGGAACCTGATAAAATTTTCTGGCAGATGAGGCCAAGAAAGCAGAGCTAGACTGGAAAACCTGGCTCAGCATCATCGAAGGCATCGCGAGAGGACTTCTTTATCTCCACCGAGACTTAAGGCACAGAATAATCCATAGAGACGGAAAGGCCAGCAACATTTTATTGGATGCAGAAATGAATCCAAAGATTTGAGACTTTGGTATGGCCAGAATGTTCGGGGGTAACCAAAATGAAGCGAATACAGTTCGAGTCGTCGGCACACAGTAAGCAATTACTCTACTTGTTAAAACAGGACGCTCAACTCTCGAACAATGTCAATAGCTTTCGACATAACTAATCGTCTCTTCCCTTGAAATGTGCAGTGGATATATGTCTCCTGAATATGCAGTGGAAGGCCTATTTTCGGTGAAATCCGATGTTTACAGCTTTGGGGTACTATTGTTGGATATTGTTAGTGGCCCAAGGAACAGTAGCTTTCGATCTTTCGAGCACACCAGTCTTGTGGCATATGTAAGTGCAGCAAATACATCATTTGATCTTATCTGCAGCTGAAGCTGAAGCTGAAATATTATACTAATCAAGTGGGAAACTGGTTTCAGGCATGGCGTCTTTGGAGTGAAGATAAAGTAATGGATTTGGTGGATCCTTGTATTCGGGATTCAAGCTCTCCAAATGAAGTGCTGAAATGCATACATATAGAGATGCTGTGCGTGCAAGATTCTCCTGCACATAGACCGAAAATGGATAGGTAAAGGAGTCGACCATTCCATAATTTCTATTATTGATTAATTTAGCACAATAGATACAATCAAATTTGAGATACAATCAAATTAAGTTGATGCATGTGTTAGAAAGCCCAATAGATAAGTAAAGGAGTCAACCATTCCATTGCATTATCTTAGTTATACAGGTGTTCAAATTTTGATTTTAATCAAATTAATCGGTCGATTAATGGTTAATGATTTTTTTTAATTTCGGTTATCGGTTAATTTAGCTTGAAATCGATTAATCAATCAATTAATAAAAATATTATATATTTATTTATATAGTACTTAGCCTGATCTTCCCCAATCTCCATACCATTAAAAACCTAATTTTTTTTTAATTCAAGAGAAAGACCCAATTAACTTAAACAATTGTTACTCCCTAAAAGATAAATAAAACATTATAACTCTTCGAAAAGAAAAAAAAAATTCTGTAACAAAAAGAAATCCTAAAAGGCTACCACTTAAAACTCTTTAAATCTTTCTCAGTTTTCACTTCTTAATCCTACGGTGTCAAATTTGTCGAATGTCGATAACCGTTTATCAAATTTTCTCAGTTCTCACGGCTCTAAGATTTGTTCTTCACCAAATCACTTCATTTGTGATGTAAAGAAGGTTAGTTCTTTTTTTACACTCATTTAGAGTTTGTGATTGATTTTTACTCCCTTTTTTTTTTTTTTTAAAGTTTTACATCTTAACTCTTTGTTGTGTTTATATCTTCACTCCCTGACTGAGTTTTACATCTTATCTCTTTGTGATTTGATTTTGTTCTGAAGTTGAATAGTTGATATGGTAACAGGGGCGAAACATAAGTTAGATCAGAGGGGGCTATGACCCCTCAAATTTTAAAAATTCTATTGTTGACCCTTACAATTTTTAAAAATTAAATTTGACCTCTCCCAAATTTTTAGATTTTCAAATTAAATTTTAATTTTATTTAACGTTCTTAATTAAACCCCTTCCTTAGTTTTTAAAAAATCTCATTAAGGTTCTCAAAGACCCTAATTTTTTGGGAAAAAATATAAACTAAATCCTTCAAAAATTTAAAAAATCTCAATTTAAAACTCTAAATTTTTTAAAATTTTAAGTTGTCTCCTGGACTCTACCATCAAGTTTAGCCACTTTATGGTAATATATAAAAAGAAGCTATTAAATTCAATTTAGTGTATCAAATATCTGAATAGGATAAATACAATCATGATAATGAATTTAATATTTTATTATGGTGAAAAGTCAGTAGTCTTAGATTTCTAGCTCTTTCAAAGATGGTCAAAAAATGTGTTAGCTATATTGCTTTCTATTGTAACTTTAGAATCTGCATTTAGTACTGAGAGATGTGTACTTGATCAATTTAAGAGTTCTTTAATTCGTAATACGGTACAAGCCCGTGTGTGTAACTAAGATTATATTTGAATTCCAACAGAGGAAATTAAGAAAATTAAATAATAAATTTAACAGTTTGACAAGATTAATAACAATATGTTGACTTTATTTATTAATTCTAATTTAATAATTAAATTTATTTATTTTAGCAATATACCACCCAATAACATTATCTTTTAATTATTTGACATTTTAAATTTATCTTGGAATTCATTAAATTTTACTCTTAATTCATAAGCTCATAAGTTTATGTACCGTGAAATTGTGAGCGTAAGTTGAAGGAAAGATATGCATTCTATTCTTTTGGTGAGTGTTATATTTGATTTTTTTTATTAAAATAATATATATTTTGTAGTTATAATGTAAAAGAAGAATTTTAGAAAAATTTAATCGATGAAGAATTTTGAAAAGTGAAGACTGTTACATATATACTTGCATTAGTGCTTGTTAACTTGATTTATGAGTGCTTTGTTGAATTACAAATGTCTTGGAGGTTAGATTGTACGAATATTTTTATAGATGTAAATTATTTTTTAATAAAATGGCTACTGTTTTTTTTTTAAAAAAATATAATAAATTTTTGAATTATTGAACTGACCGTAACACCCTTATTTATCATTGTTGGGTCTTTAAGTAGTTGACGCGTTTGTGGCCGCGGATTAATTAGTTTTGATGAGAAAGCAGGCCAAGACAGCAACCACTGCCATTGGCCCGTTTCGTGAGCCACAAATTCATAGTCCAAAATCGACCTATCGGCAACATGGTCCACTGCCATTACCAAAAAAGAATATCTTTACGTTTTATATTTGGGTAAACTACAAGAATGATCATCTAACTTTTATATTTGTATACTTTTATTCACCTTTTTTTAAAAGGTTAAGTTTTGGTCAATTACGTTATATTTCTATCAAGTGGTCTCAGTGGTTAAGGAGAGTGTTGTTCTCCTTAAAGATCCTGGGTTCGAGTAGCTATATCTGCAAGATGTGTATACATTGTCAATAATTAAAAACATTCTGAACATATACAAACTTGTAATCATACCAAACTATTAAAAAAATATATTACATTACTACTCTAAAATTTCATATTCTCAATCCAATTTTCAAACTAACATATTTTAGAAAAAAAATCTAATATATACTTTTTAAAAATCATTTTAACCCAAAATTTTATTTTTAGAAAATTATGAAATCTAAACTGACCATTTGAAATACTAATTTAGTTCTACTGACTCAGAGGTTAGGGTATTACGTGCTAGTGGTTATAAAAAAATAACTTATTAGGTAGCCATCGATACTCAAGATAAGAAAAAAAATGATATAAAAATCTGCCATGGCTATCAATTTCATTTTTAATTTTGGTGGCCCAAGTTTTGGTAGACCAAGGACATATAGATGCTTAAATTCCCTATGCATTAGGGCGAACCAAAGCCAAAATGTTCGGTGCAAATGTTACGACCAATTATGTCTCTTTGTGCGGAACGAATCGCTCCAGCAAGATTGGATTTGGGGCAATACTTCACCAATCACCATTTTCACTACTTTAAGGATCACATAACTGGCATGACAAAAGCAAACCGATAAGAAAATTTCCAGCCAAAACAAAAAATCATCCTTTCATTTCATCGGTTTTGAAAAGTAAAAAAAGAAGCAGCAGAAAAGGTGTATTTGTCACGTTGTATATCATTTAAGATCCTAATCAAGTACAGCTTTCATGGGTGGATCCACTTATTAATGAGATCCCCAACTACTCCCAACAAATTAATATTATATCTTCTTCTCAACTCTGAACACCCTAATCATATACTAAACCTGTGATGAATCCTGTTAAATTGCTTGTCAGAATACTTCTGCTTCTGTTTTTCTCTCATTTCTCCGTATCTGCTGATACGATAACGATAAATAACTTCATCAGAGACGATGGTGGAATCGTGGTCTCCAGTGGTAAGGTTTTCGCTCTCGGGTTTTTCAGCCCCGGCAGTTCGAGGAACCGATATGTCGGCATCTGGTATTTTCAGGTACCGGAGAAGACAGTTGTTTGGGTGGCTAATAGAGATGATCCCATTAAGGATAACTCGGGGAATCTCAGAATCGACAGTCGAGGAAACCTTGTCTTGTTCCAGAGGAACCGAACACTTCCTGTGTGGTCTACAAACATCTCCATGGCAGGCACTGGGAAGAACACCATTGCTCAAATTTTGGATTCGGGAAATCTTGTTTTGCTTCAGAATGATACCAGAAGGGAAGTGCTGTGGCAGAGTTTTGATCATCCTACAAACACTATGCTCCCGTTTATGAAACTCGGGTTGAGTTTCAGAACTGGTTTGAATCGAGTCATAACGTCTTGGAAGTCCCCAGATGATCCGGGAATTGGAAACTGTTCCTACAGGATTGACCCGAGCGGGTTTCCTCAGCTGTATTTGTACAAGGGTTCGGCTCCGTGGTGGCGAACCGGGTCGTGGACCGGGCGAAGATGGAGTGGTGTACCTGAAATGACAAGCAACTACATATTTAATGTTTCTTTCGTCAACACTGCTGATGAAGTGTCGATCACGTATGGGGTGACCAACACTTCCTTCATTACAAGAATGGTGACGAATGAAACAGGTATTCAACAAAGATTCAATTGGAACCGTGAAGCTCGACATTGGATTGGGTTCTGGTCGGCCCCGAAGGACCCGTGTGATTTTTACGGATACTGTGGTCCGAATGGTTACTGCAACCCTGTTCGCTTGGATGATTTCGAATGCGTATGTTTTCCGGGATTCGAGCCCAGGTCATCCCAAGAATGGTATCTAAGAGATGGAACACATGGATGCGTGAAGAAACGCGGTACCTCGATGTGTCGAAACGGAGAAGGGTTCATCAAGGTGCAACATACCAAGGTGCCCGACACATCCGCGGCACGCGTAGACATGAGTATGGGACTTAAACAATGCGAGGTCGAGTGTTTGAGAAATTGTTCTTGCTGGGCTTATGCTAGTGCATATGCGGAGACAGACGGAGGGGTTGGATGCTTGACTTGGAACGGGGATTTGGTGGATGCAAGGACATATACAGATGCGGGACAAGACATATACATACGCGTCGATGCCGATGAATTAGCTCGGTATACGAAGAAAGGCCCATTTCAAAAGAAGGGAGTGCTTGCGGTTACCATAGTTTCTGCACTTGTATTGTTTCTCATCCTTCTGGCCCTCTTGCATTGCTTAGTGAGAAGGCTTAGGAGAGGTACGTACCACATTGAGATACTTGCAGCTAAATTGTCTATGTCATTGTAGAGATTCGCACTTGGCTTAATCACCATATTGTGCTTGACAACAGAAAGAAGAAGGAAAAACACCTTTAGTTTTACGAGTTCATCGTTGTTCGAAGACTCTTTAGGACAAAAAGAGATTGACGAGAGCAGAAGAAACGGAGATTTGCCGTTCTTTGATTTAAGCACCATAGCCGCTGCCACTAATAACTTCTCTACTGATAACAAACTCGGACAAGGCGGATTCGGTCCTGTTTACAAGGTAACTTTGCTCTTAACAACTTATTTATATACATGGAACTCCTACTAGTCCATTAAAGGAAATTTCTTTGTAATTGCAGGGTGTGCTCTTCAATGGCAAAGAAATAGCAGTGAAAAGACTATCAAAGCACTCAGGGCAGGGAGTACAAGAGTTTAAGAATGAGATAGTGCTAATTGCAAAACTCCAGCACAGGAATCTCGTAAGGATGCTAGGGTATTGCATTGAGGGCGAAGAGAAGATGTTAATCTATGAGTTTTTACCCAATAAAAGCTTAGACTCGATCATTTTCGGTACGTCTTAATTTGATCTGTTGAATACTTATGCCAAATACTGCAAGTTATGCAATGATTCGTTTCGAAAACTGGTTTTGGATACAGATGAATCAAAAAGTTTTCTGTTGGATTGGAAAAAGCGTTTAAAAATTATTTGTGGGATTGCTCGAGGGATCTTGTATCTTCACCAGGATTCCAGGCTAAGAATCATTCACAGAGATCTCAAGGCGAGCAACGTCTTACTCGATGACGGAATGAATCCGAAAATCTCCGATTTCGGCATGGCCAGAATTTTCGGAGGAGACCAAATTGAAGGCGATACTAAACGTGTAGTTGGAACATAGTAAGCATCCCATACACACAGTTTGTAGACAACTACTTGATTTTTCAAACAAGTTCTTACCATTACCTCTCTTGTTTTGGTATGATTTTAGTGGTTACATGTCGCCGGAGTATGCAATGCATGGTCACTTCTCGACAAAATCCGATGTTTATAGTTTCGGGGTCCTGCTGTTAGAGATCATCACAGGCAAAAAGAACAGCAGTTATTTTTCAGATGATCCCTCGTCAAATCTCGTCGGACATGTGAGTGACGAGATTTAAAGAACATCTTCCCAACATTAATTAAATCAATTTTTTTTGCATTAAAAAAATTCGAACAACATTGTTTCAGGTTTGGGATTTATGGAAAGAAGACAAAGCCATTGAAGGAGTAGACTCGGCACTGGGTGATTCATATTCGGCTGATGAATTTATGAAATGCATTCAAATCGGATTATTGTGCGTGCAAGAACATGCGACAGATCGACCGGCGATGTCCACAGTTGTGTTCATGTTGAGCAACGAAACGTCTCTTCCGTTTCCCAAACAGCCCGCATTCATAGCGAAAACTCACAAAGGCGACGAGATATCAACCAGTGAAGGAACTGGATCTGTAAATGATGCGACTATCACTATGGTTCACGCTCGATAGAACTATTAGCTATATATATATATATATATGAACAGGTGGATGAATAAAAATAAATATTCAAATTAATGGTAAAAATTTAGAAATATTTTATAAGAAAGAAAAGTAAATTATCCACAAATTTAAAAGCTCCAATTTCACTCATTAAATTCAATTAATTCAATAATACAAAAATCATTGTCTAGTTGGATCCTACCCCATATAAATAGATAAAGGTGAGATCTATTTATGCAATTTGTTAGATAAGTAAAAAAATACTATTGAAATTAACAGTATAAAATGAGAAAGATATTCATAACAAAAAAATAAAGAGGATGATCCTCTTAATTCAGTTTGATCAATTCAAGGACGTCATGATTCGAACTTCTTACCCGACTTAAAGAATCCAATATCTCATAGTCATTCAACTAGACTAACTGGTTGTTAGTAGTGTTTAAGTGTATTTGATTGTACATTATCTTGTATATTACACTACTAACAACAAAAATCAAACTAAATAAATAAGTTGGAATGTAAATATTAAATCTATCAACTCTATAAATATTTATAAATATAAATTATTACATACATAAAAATTGAATACATAAGCACAAACCAACTTACTTCGGTGGTTAAATGAATCGTTGTTGTTCCTAGAGGTTATGAGTTCGGGCACAAGCAATTACAAGGGTGATTGGACGTTCATTGTCAAAAGATTGAGAATATTTAGTAGAACATACACTACTTTGTAATTATCTTAGCTTAATAAAAAAATACAAAATTTTAATTTATTAGACATATGTTTAAAATCACTTAATGTATTTTTTTATTTAATATGGGGTACGTTACAGGACAATAATCTATTCAAAGATATCTCTCAATCTCTCATCATTGAACGCTCACACTCCTTGACATTTATAGTATTCGAATCCAAGTACTCAAGGAATAAAAATAATTTTTTTACCACGAAGACCACTTGATTCGTGCACACGTAATGTACTTAAATCATAGTCACTAAAATAAAAATGCGTTGGAATAGTGATGGATTGTTAAATTGATGTCAACTATCTTACACTATAGGAAATGCCGGTAAATATTTTGTTATTTTCTACCTCATCATTATAAAACTAAAAATTGGAAGGAATTTTTTTTTTGATACTTCTAATAACATGATAGAAAAGAGAAAAATAACCGACATTATTTTGATGGAGTTATTACTGTTCTAACACATTAGAGTCAACTTGACAAAGAGTAGAAGTTCAAGGGCCAAAGTTGATACAATAAAAATTTAGCTTAATATAAGAAAAACCTAAACTATACATTTTTTTTCTCATTTAGGTATTTACATTTTTTTGGTTAATCCAATTACCTAAAGTTACAAAAGTACCCTTTTAAGTGTTTACTCGATGATACGATTGACGATAATGGTGACGACTACTGACAAGAGAGATGACAAGGGTGACAGTAGCGACGATAGCCGTGGTCGGCAAGGGAGGTTGTAAGGTTAGGGATTTTTGGGTTGATTTTGGGGATTTTAAGGGGTTTGGGTATTTTGTATAATTTTAGAGAAATTAGTTTTTTTTTAAAATATATTAATATTTATAAATTCTTTTTAAAAATAGAATTTATAAAATTACCCGAATGCGACATGTATTACTTAATAGAATAGTTTAACAACGATTACAATCAAGGCAATTAAAATGATAATTTTTGTAACATTAGACACTGAATTGAATGAAAAACAAGTTTAGACATCTAAATGAGGGGGAAAAAAAGCATAGTTTAGATATTTTTTATATTAAGGCTAAATTTGTAGCGGCTAATATGATTAAATTAGTAAAGTTGAGAGGCTGAAAAGGTCAAAACCTTTGAAAATTGTTTAAGAAAAGGTCCTGGATATAATTGTTTTATATATTTTTTTAAAATTTGGTAGATATGGCTATAATTGTTTGTTACTTCTCAAAATTAGATTTGACTTCACTTGCCTATTAGATTTCTCAGAGTAATTAACCTCAGCAAGTAAAGCATTCGAGGGTCCACTTATTAATGAGGTACCAACAGCTCCCTCCACCAAATAAATATACCAGTCTTCCGAAATATTTCTAATCAATCACACACTGAACCAGTCATGAATCCTGCTAAATCGTTTCTGAGAATACTGCTGTTTCTCTTTCTTTCTCACTTCTCCTTGTCTACAGATACCATAACACAAGATCACTTCATCAAAGATAACGATGAGGTCTTAGTCTCTGATGGCAAGACCTTTGCACTGGGATTTTTCAGCCCTGCCACTTCCAGGAATCGATATGTCGGCATCTGGTATTATCAGATTCCGGGGAACATAGTTGTTTGGGTGGCCAACAGAAACAATCCCATTAAAGATAACTCTGGGATCCTCTCGGTCGACAGTCGAGGCAATCTTGCGCTGTTCCAGAGAAACCAAACGCTTCCAGTCTGGTCTACAAACATCTCCATGGCAGGCAGTAGGGACTCCGTTGCTCAAATTTTGGATACGGGAAATCTTGTTTTGCTTCAGAGTGATGCCAGAAAGGACATATTGTGGCAGAGTTTTGATTATCCTACAAATACTTGGCTTTCTTTTCAGAGCCTTGGGGTGAATGTCCGAACCGGTGTGAACAGAGTATATACGTCTTGGAATTCGCCAGATGACCCTGGGGTTGGAAACTATTCCCTCAGGATGAACCCCAGCGGGTTTCCTCAAATGTTTTTGTACCAAGGGTCGACACCTTTGTGGCGAAGCGGGACATGGACAGGGCAAAGATGGAATGGTATACCTGAAATGACCAAAAACTTCATATTTAACGACACTTTTGTCAATACCGATGACGAAGTATCATTCTCATCCGATGTGAGAAATGCCTCCATCATATCAAGAGCGGTAGTGAACGAAACAGGAGTTTTTCAAAGATTAACATGGAACAACGAAGCGCAACGTTGGATTGACTTTTATTCGGCTCCAAAGGAAAGTTGTGATTTTTACGGGCACTGCGGGCCAAATGCTTACTGTAAGCCTGACATCACGGGTGATTTCGAGTGTTCGTGTTTCCCTGGATTCGAACCCAAATTACCCCAAGCGTGGTCTATAAGAGATGGGGCAGCAGGATGCGTAAGGAAGAGTGCTGTCTCCTTGTGTGGAAACAAAGAAGGGTTCATCAAGGTTCCACAGGTGAAGGTGCCAGACACTTCGGTGGCACATGTAGACATGACTATAGACTTGAAGCAATGCAAGGAAAAGTGCTCGAGGAATTGTTCATGCATGGCTTATGCTAGTGCATACTCTGATATCGACAGAGGGATTGGCTGCTTGGCATGGCATGGAGATTTGGTGGATGCGAGGACATATACCCATACGGGACAAGATCTATACATACGAGTCGATAAAGACGAGTTAGGTACGTGTTGTATATGCAAGTTGCAGCCATAATGTTTTTTGCTTATTTCATGATTAATTCCAATTGCAATCTTGTTAGCTCGGCATACAAAGAAAGGTTTACTTCAGAAGAAGGCAGTGCCTGCGGTTATCATAGTTTCTTTAGCTGTAGCGTTTCTCATTCTCGTGGCCCTTTTGCGTTGCTTTGTAAGACGACAGAAAAGAAGTACGTACCACTTTTTCTTCTGTTTTAATTCATGTATTCGCATTTTAACAACGAAATTGTGCTTTGAGTATTGACAGCAGCAAGAATAAGAAACAACGAAGATATGTTCAGCTTAGCCACATTCGAAGATTCTTTAGGTGTAAAGGAGATTGACGAGACAAGAAGAAATGGAGATTTACCATTCTTTCATTTGAGCACCATTGCTTCTGCCACTAGTAACTTCTCTTCTGATAACAAACTTGGACAAGGTGGCTTTGGCCCCGTTTACAAGGTAGTTTGTCTTCACAGCTATTTTCGTACATATCGACGAGCAATGAAACTCCTATTACTATTGTGTTTGCAGGGTGTTCTGTTAAATGGAAAAGAGATTGCAGTGAAAAGGCTATCAAAGTACTCAGGGCAGGGAGTAGAAGAGTTTAAGAATGAAATAATGCTAATTGCAAAACTTCAGCACAGGAATCTCGTAAGGATGCTGGGATGTTGCATTGAGGGTGAAGAGAAGATGTTAATCTATGAGTTCTTGCCTAATAAAAGCTTAGACTCTATTATTTTCGGTATGTCTTCTTGCGAATCGTGGATTACTCATGCCAAATACTACAATTTTTAAGTTATGCAATAATTCCTATCGATGAAAAACTGATTTGGAATCCAGATGAATCGAAAAGATCATTGTTGGATTGGACAAAGCGTTTAGAAATTATCTGTGGAATTGCTCGAGGAATGTTGTATCTTCATCAAGATTCCAGGTTAAGAGTCATTCACAGAGATTTGAAAGCGAGCAATGTCTTACTAGATGCTACAATGAATCCCAAAATTTCAGATTTTGGCATGGCTAGAATTTTTGGAGGAGATCAAACCGAAGGAGATACCAAACGTGTGGTTGGAACATAGTAAGCACTGCAAATGCAAAGTTTGGAGCAAACTTCTGCCACATGTTTCGAACAAGATCTCACCGTTTCCTTTCTGTTTTGTCCATTTTTAGCGGTTACATGTCGCCGGAGTATGCAATGCATGGTCACTTCTCGATGAAATCCGATGTCTATAGCTTTGGAGTCCTGCTATTAGAGATCATCACCGGAAAAAAGAACAGCAGTTATGTTCCTGATAGTCCGTCTTTGAATCTGGTCGGACATGTAAGTAACCAAAATTTTAGTACAATTTCCCATTCAAGTCATGATTTCCGATTAACGTTGTTTCAGGTTTGGGAGTTATGGAAAGAAGACAAAGCCATGGAAGTTGTTGACTTGGCATTAGGGGGTTCATATTCTAATGAAGAAGTTTTGAAATGCATTCGAATTGGGCTGTTGTCCGTTCAAGAACATGCAACACATCGACCAACGATGTCCACAGTTGTTTCTATGTTATGTAACGAAACAACTCTTCCTTCTCCGGAACAACCTGCATTTATAGAGCAGAAGATTCACAAAGGAGACGAGAGATCGAGTAGGGAAGGAGCCAACTCCGTAAATGGTGTGACAATCACTATGGTTCTAGGTCGATAGACATTTAATGCTTCATATATTGTGTATATAATATACATTATCAACTTTTTAAATAACACAATTTTATCATATACGAGCTCATTCGGTTCATAAGTTAGCTGGCAGGTTCAAATGGAGACAACACATCATTGTGACAACACCCATTGTGAACAGACAGGTTTAGGGACAACAGCTAATGTTATATGTTTGCTGGATAAGAGAGAAAATGTTAGCAAACTACCAGGAACAACCAACAGTTGTGTTGCTTGGCGTGAGAATATGGTGACACGGACACCTTCCCATTATCTTGCGTCTATTGGTCGGATATTGTGGGAAAGATGGGAAATTTGGGAGCAGAGGCCGAAAATGCGGGATTGAAGGTCTGTTTTAGCTGCTACTACCGAATAATAATAATAAATAGGGTACAGTACACAGATGGTCTCACGAATATTAAAAGTTACAACACGATCCCATGACTATAGAGAGTTGCTTTGTTGAGTCGACTGACTATTAAAAGTTACAAAATGATCACCCGACTATTCATTATGTTCGAAACTTGTCATTTTCCTTTAAAAATTTAACAATTGTTTGAGCTGGATGTTAACATGTTGGCTGAGATATGATAGTCGTTTGAGATTATGAGATCATATTTTATTATATCTCAGTTAGTAGGTTTACGTCCAGCTCATATCACCCTTAATTTTTTAATGGAAAAGAACGAGTTTGAAACAAAATGAATAGTTGAATGATAATTTTATAACTTTTAATTGTCGAAAAACTCAAAACATCAATATCCTATAGTCAATGAACCATTTATATACTTTATCCTAATAAATAATAAAATAAGTTAACTAGCTTATCATTTATGAACAAAATTCTTCTTCCTCTGTATTATACCTCTAATTGTCAAATATCCAAAAACTCGATTTTTTACTCAAATATCATCCTAAAAACAATTAATTATCAAAATAATATTCATTGTTGATTAATTTTCAATATAACACCCTTTTATGTCATGAAAGCGGAAGACGCTTTCTACCGAAAGCTATGATATCTTCTGATGAGTTTGTTTGTATGAGAAAAGCTATGAGAACAAGTTATAAAAATTATATTCAGTACTTGATTAATAAAGGTGGTAAATTCTGATAAATAACTTGATCGAAATTATCATTATTTTATTTTTATTTTGGTTTACGTTATTTTCTATTTGAAGTTTTGATTTTTGTATAAAATATTTATTATATTTAAGTAATAGTTTAATTATCATGAATGATTTAAAAATATATGTTTATCTAAAAAAAATTAAGTATCAAAATTAGGGTCTCTTATAAAGCTCGACATAATATCTTAGGTCTACTATTTACTGATCAAATTTAGGATGTTATAATAAATATCTTATAAAGCTCGACATAAGGTATTTGAGCGTTTATTGTCAAATGATTGAAAGATTTTAAAATAGATATTATCACTTATAAGAACTCTAGATTAATTAAAAAAATATTTACATAACAAAATATATCATACACTTATGACTTTGAAACTGTTATCTGAATCAATCAATACATAGCCTATATCACATCCAAAGGCATTTAAAACAACATAACCTATTTAATCAAATATCACAAGCATAACATGAATTAATAATATATAATATAAAGAGCATCAATAGTATTTTAGCGTACAAATTTAGCATAGTTTTTCTTAGTAATTTAATTGATTGTAAGATAATATATGTTCATAATTTTTTAAATTATTGACTATTAACAATATATACACCCAGTAAATTCAATTGCTCGAAATCAGGATTTAAAAAAAATAACACCCCTTTAATCACTAATACTACTCAATAGGTTCAAATTTAACATAATTTAGAACCTAACACATTTCACAATTATTTTATAAATTAGTTTGGATTACTGTAGCCAATTGGTTACATAGACTTAGATCGATGCAAAAATCCATAACGGATAACACTGAATAAGTTATAATCCATCACATTGACTGAAGGTAAGGATGGATCTAGAGGAGGATGGGTGAAGACAATTGTTTTTTCTGAAAATTTTAAATTCCTATATAATTTAGATATTTTCTGTTGAAAATCTAATTTTGTCCCTCTAAAATTTTATAAATTTACCTCATATAACATAAAATCATGCGTTCGTCCCTACCTTAATGCATCACCAAAAAGCAATATAATATATCCACCAAGATTATACCTAATCATCCGAAGGCTACAACACATTAATCCGTACCATAAGCACTGTTACGGATTAATCCATTTTTGTGAATTTCCTTTATAAACGATATATCTTATCAAGATAGAAATTAGTTCCAGATTTAGATAAATCATCATATCAGTAAGCAATTTATCATCATTTTCTCATTAACAAACTTTAGATATTTAGAATAGGATAACTATCCCTCTAATGTGCCTCAGAATCATACAAATTTGTGCCTCAGAATAATGGTATTTTGTTAACTTCCTTTCGAACTTTCTCTTTCATTTTCTATCATTTTCCCTTCCATCAAACACCATCATAGTTGTAACCAAAAAAACAAAAAACACCATCATAGCTTGAATCTTGGAAATCTAATCTACCAGTGGAAAAAATAGCATGCACCAACCATCAAAGTACTCTTCATTAAGAAAACGGATGGTCCAACTTCGGCTATTAAGCACTATAACATGTCTAGCGAGCTAGAACCGTAGTGACCGTCACACCATTTACAGAGCTGGTTCCTTCACTATTTGATCTCTCATCTCCATTCCGAATTTTCTTTTCTATAAATGCAGGTTGCTTTGGGGAAGGAAGCCTACTTTTGTTACTTAACATAGAAACAACCTTGGACATCGTTGGTCGATGTGCTGCATGTTCTTGTACGCACAACAGCCCAATTTGAATGCATTTCAAAATTTCTTCATTAGAATATGAATTCCCTAATGCCAAGTCAACAACTTCCATGGCTTTGTCTTCTTTCCATAACTCCCAAACCTGAAACAACGTTATTGGAAATCATGACTTGAATGGAAATTTTGAAACCACAATTTGGTTACTTACATGTCCGACTAGATTCAAAGACGGACTATCGGAAAAATAACTGCTGTTCTTTTTGCCGGTGATGATCTCTAATATCAAGACCCCAAAGCTATAAACATCAGATTTCATTGAGAAGTGCCCATGCATTACATATTCCGGTGACATGTAACCGCTGAAAACAGTTAAACAGACAGGAAATGGTGAGAATTTCTTTGAAACATGTAGCAGTAGTTTGCTCGAAACTTTGCATTTGCAGTGCTTACTATGTTCCAACCACACGTTTAGTATCTCCTTCGGTTTGGTCTCCCCCAAATATTCTAGCCATGCCAAAATCTGAAATTTTGGGATTCATTGTATCATCTAGTAAGACATTGCTCGCTTTCAAATCTCTATGAATGACTCTTAACCTGGAATCTTGATGAAGATACAACATTCCTCGAGCAATCCCGCAGATAATTTCCAAACGCTTTGTCCAATCCAACAATGATCTTTTCGATTCATCTGGATTCCAAATCAGTTTTTCTTCAAAAGGAATTATTGCATAACTTAAAATGTAGTATTTGGCATGAGTAATCAATGATTCGCAAGAAGACATACCGAAAATAATAGAGTCTAAGCTTTTATTAGGCAAGAATTCATAGATTAACATCTTCTCTTCACCCTCAATGCAACATCCCAGCATCCTTACGAGATTTCTGTGCTGAAGTTTTGCAATTAGCATTATTTCATTCTTAAACTCTTCTACTCCCTGCCCTGAATACTTTGATAGCCTTTTCACTGCTATCTCTTTTCCATTTAACAGAACACCCTGCAAACACAATAGTAGTAGGAGTTTCATTGCTCGTCGACATGTACGAAAATAGCTGTGAAGACAAACTACCTTGTAAACGGGGCCAAAGCCACCTTGTCCAAGTTTGTTATCAGAAGAGAAGTTACTAGTGGCAGAAGCAATGGTGCTCAAATGAAAGAAAGGTAAATCTCCATTTCTTCTGGTCTCATCAATCTCCTTTACACCTAAAGAATCTTCGAATGTGGCTAAGCTGAACATATCTCTGTTGTTTCTTGTTCTTGCTGCTGTCAATACTCAAAGCACAATTTCGTTGTTAAAATGCGAATAAATGAATTAAAACAGAAGAAAAAGTGGTACGTACTTCTTCTCTGTCGTCTTACAAAGCAATGCAAAAGGGCAACAAGAATGAGAAACGCTGCAGCTAAAGAAACTATGATAACCGCAAACACTGCCTTCTTCTGAAACAGACCTTTCTTTGTATGCCGAGCTAACAAGATTGCAATTGGAATTATTCATGAAATAAGCAAAAAAGAATATGGCTGCAACTTGCATATACAACGCGTACCTAACTCTTTTTTATCGACTCGTATGTATAGATCTTGTCCCGTATGGGTATATGTCCTCGCATCCACCAAATCTCCATGCCATGACAAGCAGCCAATCCCGCTGTCGATATCAGGGTATGCAGTAGCATAAGCCATGCATGAACAATTCCTCAAGCACTTTTCCTTGCATTGCTTCAAGCCTATAGTCATGTCTACATGTGCCGCACAAGTGTCTGGCACCTTCACCTGCGGAACCTTGATGAACCCTTCTTCATTTCCACACATGGAGATACCGCTCTTCCTCACGCATCCTCCTGACCAATCTGCTATAGCCCATGCTTGGGGTGATTCGGTTTCGAATCCTAAGAAACACGAACACTCGAAATCACCCGTGATGTCAGACTTACAGTAAGCATTTGGCCCGCAGTGCCCTTAAAAATCACATCGTTCCTTTGGAGTCGAATAAAAGTCAATCCAACGTTGCGCTTCGTTGTTCCACACTAATCTTTGAAAAACTCCTGTTTCGTTCACTACCGCTCTTGATATGATGGAGGCATTTCTCACATCGGATGAGAATGATACTTCGTCATCCGCGTTGACAAAATTATCGTTGAATATGAAGTTTTTGGTCATTTCAGGTATACCATT